GATTTATTTAGATTTCTGGCACTTATAATGGACAGTAGGGCCGCGCAAAGCTCACAGGAAACCCTGAAATTCTTCATGTTTTTTTAAAAAATAAATCAAGATATTGTACATAATTTTAAATATTATATTCAAAGCAACTAATTAAGTTTTTTTTGTAGCAATTATTAGTTAGCATATTTGAGAATCGACATTAAATTATGATAAGGAGAACACATCTAAGGGCTAAAATGCTCTGAAAGAGGTGTGTGCTTCAGTAGCATTGTTCTTGTACCTTCCTTATACGACAAATAAATTAGCTATTATAATGGAAACAAAAGATTTCACAATTTAACTGTGGATCTCGGTAATTTGCAGAACATTAGGATATCTAATTTCTTTTGTTTGATTGAAAGACATAATCTTGGATTTTCAATAAAAATCCTTCAATCCACTGCAGGCATAGGCAAATAATTGCTTTCTTCAAGGCTGGAATTAAATGCGTATAACAGTAAATTGGTATATTACTACATTTAATAAGCATTTTGGCCTTAAAAGTTAGGCTGGTCTATTTGGCCCAAAATAGAAGATAAGTCATAGCAACAGAGAAAATATCAATACTAGTTTAATATATCATAAACCAGAGGGTGACATGCTCGCATGCTGCTAAGGTGAATTTAAATATTCTACTTCAAGTACTAGATACTTAGTAAAACTTAGTGATATTTAGCTTATTATGGCAACGGCAGAACAAATAATTTCGGAGCTTTTTGTGCAATCAGTAATGGTTTTAAATTTTTATTTAATCCAATAGAGTCAAAATGTAAAGTTCGTCATAATATTTAATAAGTTCGGCACTTTGATACTTGAATATTTAAAATCCCCGTAACTAGTAATTATATAATATTATTATTATAGATATTATGGAAAATATGTTATATAAAATATTTCTTAGGGTTAAGCCAGCATGACTTTTTAGTTTTGCTATAGAGGCTGTTGGCTATGACATGAGAATATGATGGTAAGTTGTTTGGACTATATAATTATTTGTAGTAAGTTCTAGTTAACGATGATAGTGAAATACAGAATTGAAATAGTTATTAAAAAGCTTTCTCACAGATTTTAGCTGACAGGTTACTGTCACCTGAACAGGATGAGTTCCACGAAATTCTTCGATCGGTCGCGTTAGCACCACTTGTGCACTAGCAAGTAGCGTGTTTGTTGGGCATAATAGACCACGTTTGTCTACAAGGTCTACGGTCAACTGATCTGCCAGGCCGGAAACAAGACTGGCTCGGGTTATCGGCCGATCAACATCAAGCCCCACCCAACAGCGTCCGGGTGGGCGCAACTTGGCGAGCCGGATTCCAGAGGTGCCCGTCAAGTCGAGGCTGCCAACGGAAGGGCCGGTCAGGCTGAAGCGTAGCAAGAATTTGTCGAGTCTGGGGTCTAAGTCAGCCGCCACGCTGTTTAACTGCCGGTTAAATTTAAGAAAGTCAATAATTATGCAAATATTCATTTAAAGAATTGTATTGCAGGTTTTCAAGGCAAATATTCAAAGCGAATTTGGCCATTCGAAAATATATTAACAGGTTTATAAGTATTCCTAGGAAACATGAATATATGAACAAAATTAATGTTCTGACAATTCATAAAAGCAAACAATCTTGTTTTTTGTTTCGAAGGTTACTATACAGTGGGCTGCTATGGAAAAAGTGAGCGACTAAGATGTTGCATTAATTAAAAAAGACGAATGCATTTACAGTTCCATTTATAAAAGGAATATGGAATTATAAGTTGCAGTTTCTAAGTATAGGTAACCTGGAAAAATATCTTATTAATAATGAGGTGTTTACAATTCATAACAGATAGCAATGTTATATTGTTTGAAGGTTATCGTCGCTGCTTTCAGTTTATGTAAAGATGCTTCAGGTTCGACTTTAGGCTAAAGTTAATAAAAATCCGTGCTTCTATTTATTTTACCGTTTTTCATATAATGCCTTCTGGCATTGAGCAGACATTATCGAGTATCGTTGTTTACTGGAGAATATTATGTTAATGAGGCATAAATATTGAGCACAAGCCTTAATTTTAAAAGTAATTTTCTTATATTTAATTTTATAGCGAATACCATTAGACGATTATCCCGAAAATTTCGCAATATCACTGCATGCTATTCCTATGTCATGTATTGAGCAAATATTTGCCAGATGTACAATAACTAGGAAAATTATATAATAATTTAAGGTTTAGAGGATAGGATTATTTCATGTTATTTTTTATACAATCAATCCAGTTAAACCATTAGCGCTCGCAATAATAATTATTGCCAATCTTCAGGAGATTTTAGATAATGTTTTCTAGATTTTCAAAGGCTAAAAATGTTAAAATAACCCGGCTGATAGAAAAATACTAATTAATCTCCTTTTCGCTAATACTTATGAGACTTTTGACAGGTGCATTCGATAATTCATTCATTCACAATGTTTTTTTTAAAGATGCCATATGTATTAATTCAATTGGATAACCATCACATAAAGCCTAAAAAGCT